GTGGTAAAGTGTTTCTGCGTATGTAACAATGTAGCGTAGTTGTTTGACAAGCAGCACTGGCAAGTGTCCATGTGCGCGGAGGACGATGTCGGTCCCGTGGACATAGAAGGATCTGATGTGGAGAACGATCTCGAGCACGAAGATGCGATAGAGCGCATGGATTGCGCCGAACATCCTGTGAGCCGAGAAGCTTTGAAAAAAGTACTCTTTCGTGAGAAAGACTGGAAGCGTTGCCTGGCGGGACGCGACAACCGCACGAAGTTTGCTCTGAGCAGATTGAAGCAAGTGGTTGAGGCCATGGGTGGCTTGCCCAATGTGACTGTCAACGTTGAAGGCGAGCGTCCTCTGGATGGTGCTCTTCGTCGCGCATGGGCCTATGCTGAAGCACAAGACATGTTTGACCGGCAATCCCAGTACCTGGAGAATCTGTCTGGAGGCCTTCTGCGTCAGATAGACAGTATTTTTTGTTGAGAGCTTCTGCACTGTGCGACACGAGCTTGAGAGATATAATTTTGTTCTGTGAATTCGGTGTCGTTAGTCTCGCGCGTGAGAGTCGGAGAAAATATTTTGTCTTGTTATCACGATAGCGCCCGGAGACGGAGGATATAGTTGGACTCAGCATCTTTTTTGCAGCTACTCGTCGTTTAGTTTTTACAGACATTGATCCATACGCCAGGTGTTCCAGATGATGCTGAGGAGGAGTTTGTCCCGAGTGGCCTGGAAGCGATGACTGCGACGGATCCGTTCTTGATGGATCTGAACGCGCAGAATCTGCGACCGAGGGACTATGCCTTGAAGCTGGTGGAGGACCAAAGCTGGTGGAAAATCATGGGGTGGATCGAACGACTGGTGTCCTTAAGTAGATGTTTCTGAAAAAGTTTATTGCATAGAGGTTTCTTGTTCAATGGGACCAGATTCTAATGGGACCGTGTGAAAGTTCTGAGAAAGTCGCAAGTGTTCCGAACACGCGACAGGAGTGCACGCTCAACGCACAGCAGATTCGCGCTGTGGCTCCCATTGTTTGCACGATCGATGAAATGTGGGAGAAGCGCACCGAAGCAAGCACCTGCTTCGCCAATGGCCAGCCCAGTGAGCGGTGCAATTGTCTATGGCTTGGCGCGGGGGGCTCGGGCAAAACGTGGGCATACACCAAAGTCTTGCGACCTTTGTTCCAGCGCTTCTTTGGCTTTGGTCGCTACACTGCCGGGGCACCGACCCACGCGGCCGCGCGGTTGTTGGGGGCAGAAGCTAGAACTCTGCACAAACTGGCGAACATTTCCCCCCAACTCCGCACTACACCGCGGCGCCATCCGAGGGCAGCGGAACAAAAATGATGCCCTGGAGCAACAGATTCTGGCGTCATTGGCCTGCATCGTCGATGAGCTGTCGATGAGCGCAGCGGATGTATATCATGCTCTTGGCCTGCGCTTCTCGGTGAAGCGCTGTGAGAACTGGGCGCTGGACCTGAGCCGCTATCTGCAGGAGTGGTTCGGCGAGATGCCGATAGGGCTACAATTGGGCGACTTCCTACAGTTGCGCCCTGCCGCCCAAGCGAGCCTCTGCGAATGGGTGGAAGTTCCGTCAGCGGTAGAACCAGCGCCGCTGACGGAACTTCAAGAAGCCGAAGCCCCAGAGCAGGCCAGCACAACGCAGCCGAGCTGGGGCGGCTCTTGTTCAAGAACTCCATGGGCATTGTGGTGCACTTCACTGGAACTGGGCGTTTCTCTTCTTGTGCTTCCGGCCAAGCTTTGGTGGCCATTTTGCAGCACATGCGGCAAGGCACCGCCATGACGGACGCACTCTGGGCGCAACTCCAGAGTCGCCTCTACGAGGTCCAGCAACTGCAAGACCTCCAGACCGCACCTTCGCGCCGGGCGTTCTTGCGGGCCTACTGGGGTGCACTTGCCTGGGAGCAGGTTGCTCGGTTGCAACAGTTGCGAGCAGTGCTCGAGGCGGAAGACGCTGGAGAACGGCTGTACTTCGTGCAAGCCATCGACAAGCCCACCGGCGACGCCTTGCTGTCTTCCGCCCAGGTCAGCGCAGCTCTGCAGTGTTTGAACATGACCAAGACTGGCTATTTGATTGGCATGTGTCCGTTGTTTCTTGGGATGGAAGTGCGCATTTCGTGCATCTTGCCGGAGCCCTTGCTGACGCGCGAGCTCCCGTGCATAGTGCGACGCATAGAACTACATCCCAAAGAACCTCCGACGCCACCTGGAGCAGCTTGCGTGGTCCTGCAGTACCAGCCGCTTGGAGTTTTGGTGGAGGTCGCAGACAGTGATTATGGTCAGTTTCAGGTCCCTGGCGACGACGTACCCAAGGGTCATTTCTACGTGAGGCCTGTGTTCAATAAGCAATCGGCCTGGGTCTTTGAGGTTGCGCCCAAGCAGAAACTTCGACTTGTTCGGAAACAGGCTTGGGACGCACTAACTTGTTTTGGGCTCTCTGGTATACATCGTATCGTCGTCGCGTCGGTCTGTCTTTCTCGTTTAGTTTCCTTTATGCGCAGGTACCCTTGGCCCCACAGCGAGTGCTGACTCATTTTGGACTGCAAGGCATCACTGCCAGATCTGGCCTGGTCGCTTTTCTGAATCAACCTCCCTGGATGAAGGATGGAGATTACGGTTTGGCCCTCTATGTCATGTTGTCACGAGCAACGAAGTTGAGCGATTTATGGCTCATTGGAGTGCCTGAGCGCCCATATTTCGAAGGCTTCTTGCATGAGCGCAACAAGACTTTGGTAGATCGTATGAGCCTGTTTGAACGTCTGTCTGTGCAGAATGAGCAAGCTGCGGAAAAGTACATCCAGAAGCTGCTTTGGAGGGGAAATGCTTACGTGAACCGCACGCTTGGTGTTTCTGGAACAGGACAAGCCAAGAGGCGGAGGCTGACAGGCAAGACTGCTGTGGCCTGAGTCTACGTGGTCTGTTGCAAGTGGATACGAAGATCCGACGCAATCACCTCGGAGAAAGTGGACGTAGCTTTGCTTAGCAGACGTTTCAGCAAGGTCGGGGTTCCCAACGAGAACAGATAAGCTGTAGATCTTTTTTTGATAGTGTTTTGATAGTGGTGCTGGGACGTGCTCTGGTTTTGGGTCGCGGGTCGCGTGGCCTGCGGCTGCAGGTCCGACACCATTGCTTTTGGCTCCGGGCACGAACGTGCGTCAACGGAACACTGAGACAACGCCTCAGTATTGTGGTTCTGTAGAATAGTTCGTTTTCGATCTTGCTCGAGGTCCGAT